CAATTAATACCACTCACAATCACATCCAGTGCATCCCGTTTGGGGACACGGACACCTTCGTAAGCCAACTCAAGAGCCAAGATGCCCACAAGCCAGATGTCACCCTCCCTCATCTTGCGATGGTCCGGGTCATAGTAAATCTTTGGCGCAGTAGCCCATTCTGAGATCTCAGTGGGGAAGCGACCCTGCAGAGGTCCTCGAGGAGCACTCCGGGTTCCAAAACCCATGGTCGTAAAGAGTAGCGCTAAACCCAAGCCTGACCATAGCATCGGCGTCTATGTATACGTGGTCGGCATTGATGTCCTCGTGAATCATGTCGATGCTGTGGAGAAACGCCAACCCCTCCAAAACTATCCTCAAGACGTATATAGAACTGATGTCTGGCAGCACGTCCGAGAAATGCTCTGCCATGATTGTTCTGAGCGACCCGTACTGCGGGTATCTCATGACAACGTAGTACTTGAAGGAAGAAGGCTCTTCTTCTTCTTTTTCTTCTATAAATGCCTTGACTACCTGGGTAGGCTACTCGGTACACGGGACGGTGATCGGGTAGAGACCTTTCAATTTGAAATATCCACTGGTATGAAACAATGTCCTCCTCCGAATTGGGATGACTCCCGTGCACGATTCCTGGAACATCATCTTGGGGCAGCTTGGACAAACTTCTGTTTGGGAAATAGACAACATTAATATTTAAAGAAAACAAATTAGTTCATCCCCAGGTTTATTTAATTTGTTGATTCATGAATGAATAATGAAGCATCGATGGATGCAGTTGTAAATTCTAGTCTAGGCTTGTGGTTGGTTAATTACAAGTGCTTGCTTGATAATGAGAATGTCTTAGAAATAATACATTTTGGGTAGGACTAAGTCGTAGAGATCATGACCAATTAGTGTTTTGGAAGTCTGACTTCAACTGGGACCTTTTCCCCCCATTTTTGCTGAAGAATTTGTGCGCCAAAAGGGCATCTACAAAAGGCGGCCTATCTTGAGGGTTCCATGCCAGGCATCGTTTACGATTTTTTTGTGATTTTTTTTGTAAGTTTTTTTATCTATTCTCTTAAAAAGTGTTTTATTTTATTGTTTGTTTTACTTTTTATTTTTTTGATATTTTTTTGTCTTGTTTTTTTGTTTCATATCCTTTTTTGTTTGTTATTTTTTTATATTTTATTTTTTCAAAAATTAATTAGCATTTGGATTCGTTCTTTTTTGTGGGTTGTTCTCTTTTTAGGTTTCACTCATTCTTATTTAACTTATTTTATTTTATTAATTGATGATTTTTATTTTATTGAACATTTTAGTTAAATAAAAAATAGTGTACCATACGTTTAATATTTTTGTTTTTTTATTTGAAAACAGTCAAAAAAAGTTAACAAACAAAAAATATCAAATAAAACAAACAAAAAAGAAGTCGTATGGTACGATTTTTTTGTTTAACTAAAATGATCGATAAAATAAAACAAATTAATTAATAAAATAAAATAAGTCAAACTAAGAGTAAGTGCAACATAAAAAGAGAACAACCCATAAAAAACGAATCCAAATGTCAATTAGTTTTTTTTACTTCATTTTGTCAAGGAACCAATTCAACCAAAAGTTCAAGCTTGTAGTTGTGGCCCACGAATGATTGTTATATACTCTGACACGCCCCCTCACGTGCAGGCGTGAGCTATTTGAGCCTTGCACGTGAAACCTTAATTTTTTTAAATTGGGTGGCAGTGAGTTTCGAATTCGTGACCTCTTGGTTATCAAAGCTCCGATACCATGTCAAATATAATAAATATTATATTAAATATATATAATATATTTAACATGCTCCCAACTACGTGACCGGTGAAGGATGGATGCCAAGACTGTGCGTGAAGTCGGAGAAGAGAAGAGATGGTAGCCCTTTGGCAAAGATGTCGGCATACTTGGAGGAAAAGGGAACATGGAGAACACGGACATGTCCTATAGCAACTTTGTCCCTGACAAAGTGCATGTCAACCTCTACGTGTTTGGTGCGCTGATGCTGAACAGGGTTGGACGATAGGTACACAGCGTTGACGTTATCACAGAAGACCAGTGTGGTACGGTGCAGAGGTTGTTGTAACTCAAGAAGGAGGTTCCGGACCCAACTTGCCTCAACCACGGCATTTGCAACGGCTCGATACTCAGCCTCAGCACTCGAACGGGGTGTAGTGGCTTGTCTCTTGGAGGACCAAGAGATAAGGTTGTCGCCAAGGAAAACACAGTATCCGGAGGTAGAGCGACGAGTGTCTAGACACCTTACCTAATCAGCATCAGAGTAGGCCTGTAAAGAATCACTACGGGTGCGGTAGTGGATGGTGTTCCCATGAGTGGTAGTGCCATGTAGGTAGCGGAGGACACGCTTCATGGCAGTGAGATGAGTGCTGCGGGGGGCATGAAGGTGGAGACATAACTGCTGAACGACATAGGTGAGATCAGGGTGTGTGAATGTGAGGTATTATAAGGCTCCAACAATGGACATGTATAAGGTGGGATCAGAAAGTGGTGTGCCGGAGGAGGCCCTGAGTTTTGCCTTTGTATCAAAAGAGGTGGAGATGGGCTTGCATTTTAGCATGTCTGCACGTTCCAAGATCTCATGGGCAAACTGAGTCTGATGAAGAAAGAGCCTCCAGTAGTAAGCTGAACATTAATCCCGAGGAAGAAATTTAGGTCACCCATATGTGTCATAGAAAACTTCCCCTTGAGCTGTTCAGTCAGGCGCTGGAGTAAAGGGGATGAGGAGGCGATGAGGACAATGTCATCCACATAGAGAAACAGATATGCCATGTCATTCCCACGAGTGTAGACAAAGAGAGATGTATCGCTCTTACACCCACAGAAACCCAATGTAAGGAGGACCTGCAGATCGGTGATACCAAGATTGGGGAGCCTGCTTAAGGCCATATAAGGCCTTTTTCAACCTGCACACATAATGGGGCCGCATGGAAAACATTCTTCACATCAAACTGATGAATCGGCCATCCTCGTGAAAGGGCAAGGCTGAGGACAATACGAACTGTGGCCAGTTTGACAACCGGACTGAGTCTCCTCATAGTCAATTCCGAAGCGCTGATTGAATCCACGGACCACCCACTGAGCTTTATACCTAGACAGATCACCTGTAGGGCCAAGTTTGTGGCACAAGAGCCACTTGCCAGTGATAACATTTTGTGTAGGGGAGGGGGGTACAAGTTCCCATGTATCGTTTTTAATCAAAGCATTAAATTCATCACATATAGCATCATACCAGTTTTTGTCCTTAAGAGCACTACGATAGGTAGGGGGTAGTGGGGAGATTTGAGCTGTGGTGCTAGGATGTGTTTAGGACGGGTGATGCCCGCTTTGGATCGGGTGACCATGGGATGGCTGGGTATGGGGCCGTGGGATGTGGGTGGGACGGAAGAGGGTTGGGTTTCGGTTGTCCATACCCATCCTAAATTCTATCATGATATCAGAGCAGGTTTTGGCCCACCTCGTTTGTCAAGGTGTTCGTCTAGACGTTCATTCCTAGCGGCACGTTTGTCTTTAGCCAGTGTTTCGTATGGAGTATGTACCCAACGGCCTGTGGCCCGTTTAACATGATTGCTCGTCTGAAAGTCCATACCCAGCGGCTCGTGGTCTGTTAGGTGTTGGTGCTCAAAAAAAATTAAGGGAATGAGAGTTCATTTGCAAGTGGTCAACCGGTTAGATTCAAAATGGCCGGTTGTCCACTTGAGGTGGAGTGTTAAAGAGCATCTCACATCGGAAAAGTGTGAGAAAATTAATCAGTATATAAACTCTTGAGTTGAACTAACTAATCGATTGGATTCAATCTTTTAATGTGGTTCAGCCTAAGTGTCTTATAGCGCGATCCAGTTGTCCATACTCATCCTAAATTCTACCACATTTGATGAAAAAAATAAAATATAGCATAAAAATAAAAAATAAAAAATGATCAAAGACAAACAAAAATAAGATAAAACAATATCAAAAAAATAAAAAGTAAAACAAACAAAAGAAATAAGACAGTTCTTAAAAGAATATATTTAAAAAGCTTACAAAAAAGGTTCACAAAAACAAATTCTAAACAAACAAACAATTAAAAAATATCAAGAAAAAAGATAAAAAAAAAAGACAAACAACAAAAAAAACAAATAAGATCGAAAAAACCAGAAACAAAAAAATTTAAAAAAGATGTAAAAATTGAAACAAAAAAGAGGGAACTCCAAAAAAATGGGGGCAGGGGAAGTTGGAAAAGAAGAAGAAGAAGAAGAAATAATTTAATAGATTTTGAATTTAAATTTTGGATTAAATATGTTTTGGTCCATGGAAAATAAGTGACTTTTCTTTTTTAGTTCTATTAAATATTGTTTGTTAATTCATCCTTACAAAAAAAATTAGTTTTAAAATAGTCTCTAAAAATAATTTTTACTACTAATTTGTTGAGATAACACCTTTATTTCGTACTAAATATCTTAGTCTTGCATTTCCTCCAATTCAATTCACATGCTCTAAGTTCTATCCTTATTTCTATTACATCTCCAATTTCCATTTTTAAAAAATATAGTATAATAAAATTTAGAAATTAAGGATATAATTTGATGCAGCCATGCAGAAGACGACCTATGCCATGAGACTTGTGTCTGAGGTAATTAGAAATATAAAATGAAGATATTGATTATAAAATAATTGTGATATCTCGACAGATTAGAAATATAAATTATATTTAAGAACCATTTTAAAAATAAAAAAAATTATAAGGATGACTTAAGAAATCTTTTTTACAGAGATCAAAAACAAAAGACTTCTATTTTACAGAGACTAAAAACATATTTAACCCTTAAATTTTAAATCAAGTGTGAGTCCTCACTGGGTCAATGTCACTTAATCTTGAAAACATTGCCTAGAACCTCATTTGAAGGCATCTTTTTTTCACATAAAAAACACTTGTGTGTGCATTTGAATGTTTTTCCCCCCTAATTGCATATCTACACCCTATTTGGGGGGGTTTATATATCCTTTGCTGTTTATTACAGGCTTAAGTGTTAAAAGTCAGTTTGTGATGCTGAATAGTAAATCATTAAAATCATCATCCCAAAAACTCTCTGGATGTTCTGCATCAGTTGCGTCTAGCAGCGCGCTGATATCTTCTTCGCCTCCATAGCTGTTTATCTCCAGAACTGCAGGTGGCACCTCTAAAGAAGAAGACTCTTGCTGTGTTGAGCTGAAGTTCCCAGAGTTCCCCGGCACCGAAAGAGACACACTTTGGTGATCATCAATGAGAAACATTTCTGCATAGTTCTCTGAATCATCTGTGGCTTGCTGCACCGAAAGCTGTTGCTCTGGAGATGTGCTGCTGCTAATTCCTTGGGCTGAAAATCCCGGCGGAGAGTTCTCATTATAAAGAGTATAAAATGGTGGGAATGTTGCTTGCTGATGGGAAATGAAGCTTTCAGACATTTCCCCACTATTAAATGATGGAAAACTGTCTGGAAATGGTTCACATTGAACTAAGCTTTCCAAGGATGGCAAAGAAGATTGCTGCTGGGGAATGGGGTTGAGAGAGCCTGAAGAGATTGAGACAGAATCTGCATTCCCAGAAACCCAATCAGTGGTTAATGATGAACTGCTTTCTCTTTGAATGTCTGTGCAGCTTATAGAACTCTTGTCCCCAAACTGGAGTTCATCATTGACCACTCTAAGGCCAAGAAACCTGAAGTTGGAATCACAAGTGTTGGGTTGGTTTATGGCAAGACTGTGATGGCTTGATTCCCGCCTGTTTGGGACTGCCAAAAGCATGCTCCTTTTCTCATCCCCATAAACTGTGAAGTTCCCTCTTAAGGGCATTTTGGGAACAAAGCTCGGCTGGAACTCCATCGGCCCTTCACGGTTCATTTGTTTCCGGTGCAGCATTGCATCAAAAGATGACAGCTTTGGCGAAAGAACATGGCTCAGAACCCCTTGATTGCTGTTACCATGGCGGATATGGGGTTGAACTGCTAAGGTTGACATGGAAGCCAGGAGGTTGGGGTTGAGCAAGTAGGACTGGCGAAGGAGAGGGGACGGCGTGGAAAAGACTGAACTGTTCCCATCAAAGGGGGAGGAATGTCTTTGTGAAGGGTTGCAGTTTAGGGTAGAAAGAGATGATCCATATAATGGCTTTGTAGATTCTTTTGCCAAGTTCAGACCATAAGAAAAATCGGTTGAAGATTCTTGACCTTTTTTCAAATTCGTACGATATTTCTGCAGAATAAAAGGAATAAGAAAATCTTGATATCGATGAGAGAATTAATAATTATAATAATAAAACACCCTTTTGGGAGATTCTAATGCAATTTCAGGATATCATGTTGTGATCTGGTTTTGGCAAATTACTGATTCTGGCATTAATCTGGTTGATTCTTGTAATTAAGTCTCTTCATGCATATCCCCATTTTCTCTCCTTTTTGCACTAAGTGATGTGATTCTCTTGTCATTAACAATGATCTTTTTTTGTTGTTGCTAAAATCTCTTCACCTTGTAACAATTAATGATTTTAGAGCAAAGTCAATCAAATTCATGTGTAGAGAATTACTATGAGAGTAAATATACACAAAAAATAATCATCAAGATTTGAAAAACGCAGAAAATATTTCTCATAAACAGATTTGAAGAATAACCAAGACCTGCAAATGGCTGGCAACATGCTCTCTTGTCAACCCTGGCTCATTCATAAATTCGACGATTTTCTTGGGAACAGCCTCTGAAAACCAAAGGAAATCATTCAATAATAACCATTAAATTTTTTTTTTGTCACACAAGAAAATGAAAGGATGATGTCTCACTGTCATAGCCTAACTTCTGGATGGCCTCCACAAATCTCTGGTGCATATCCGGAGTCCAGTTCAGCCTCGGCTTCTTTTTAGTCTCACACTCTTCACTTGTTTCCATGCCCTCTTCCGTTTCTTTTCTCTTCCGGTTTTGGCCCTGGTTCCTCTCCTCACAATCACTAGTCTCCACATGAGATGTTAAAGCATCACTCTTCTTGTAACCATTCTCCTCAACACCACTTGCTGCTTTTCTGGCAGCAGATTGCCACAGCTCTCTCATGTCGTTCATATCCAAAAAGTCTATAAGATATGATGAAACATTGCATTCTTTGCCTTTGGTATCCAACTCCACTTCTCGTGGCATCATCGCTGACAAAATTTGAAAACCAAGGGAAAAAAAAGAGATTATGAAGTCATAATGCAGATTATGTAACATGTGATAAAAAATGAAGAAATAGAATAACAAAACATACAAGAGACGCGAAGATTCAGTTCCTTCTCAATGGCTTGGATGATCTCGGCCCCCTTTGTCGATAACCTGTTTAAGTTTGTTAAAACAAGACTTAGTGCATCTTTTCTCTTGCGGATTGCGTTCATTGCATCTGTAGCCCTCCCAATGTGCAACACTGAGGTGAACAAAACAAAACGTGGGAACCGTTTAAAACAGAAAATTTTAAGGGAAGAAACAGAAGATTGTCATCATCAACCAAACTATGATCATGAAAACTGTGTTTAGTTTGATATAAAACATTATATGACTTGGTTGGAAACAAAGATACCTTCATAAGTGCAGTGCTGGAGCACCTCAGAGACAAGGTTTTGACAGATGCAATCATCGCCGAAGACCAATAAGCAAATTTTCTTGCGGGTTCCCATATCTGAAAGAGAAGAAGCCAACGAAGAAGAGGAAGAATGAATGAGATTGGACTTCCTAACTAAAGAGGGAAGTTCTCTGGATGATAAGTGTGACAAATGATATAAATAATTTGCCTTATTATAAATCATTTAATGCACTCAAAAGCCTATGAGGCTCTTTCAAGAAAATGTAACTCCATGACCATCCAGCATTTTATAAAAATCCAGAAAAGGAAAGGCTAATATGCACCTGCTTAGTGGTCATTGCAAACTCTTATCTACCAAAGCTTGGCACAGAAACTGAAAGAGCATCTTATACAACTACATTGATAATATGATTGGTATGGTAACAGTGCAAAAGGCGTTCGGATCTCTGGTATCCCTTGTTTGATTCGCTACTAATTTGGTATCTTTCGTGGGGGAATGTATTTTCTCAGCTACATTAATGAAGGTTTAAGCCTTAACTTCTTTTCCCAAATCTCTTTTTTAGAAGAAAAACTTACTATAAAAAGTACACAATTTTGTCGCATAAAAATAACGGATGGAACGTGTCCATTATCTGCGAGTTTGTTCACTGCATTAGGCAAGACAACACTTTAGGCGCTTCAGATGTTTGTTTTCAGAGGCAACCAAAGAAATTTTGACATTTATTTAATCTCATGCCATTGCTTCAGTAATATTATTATGGTCATAAATGTTATTTGATTCACACATGGCCCATGTTTAATGCCAAAAATCTGCAACTCATTCTTCTAGCAACAATACATCATACAACAGGAAATGCCACACCAGAAGTTGAGAAAACTAATGAAAATTGTGAATTTTCTGGTACTTAATATTCACAAAGGATTCTGGCTCCCAATGGCCATTTACAGTAGTAGTGTACCCCCACCACCACCCCACCCCACTACAAAATAATAACTCGAGAAGCAGTGATCTAATATTCTATCTAGTTGATCTAATAGGCTATCCAGTTGCGGTTAACAAGCCGAACACGCACGGAGGAGCACCAGTGGTAGACAAAATGGGATTTACTCGAACAAAAGGCGGCGCCTTGCTGACTTGCTAAGGTTGGAAAGTTGCTCTTTTTGTTCCTTTTTGGAAGCACTAGAACTGCTTGAGCTAATGATTGATTTTCTCCCATCAAGCTTTGTCTGGCTGGTGGTGGGCTTGGATGATGGAAAGAACTCACTGATTCTGAGCTGAATCTCGCCGGAGGGTACTGAACTTTCAGGTACACCCCTTCTTTTTCGTGCCGACTTTGCTTCTATCAACTCCTAGGCATTTAAACAGACATTTAAAGAAAAACAGAACACTTGGGCATGTGACAAAACACATAAAAAACAGGGAAAAAATCTCACCTTTTGCTTCAAGAATTGGTTCACCTTTTCTGGAAAGGCTTTCCGAACAAGCTCTATATCTTCATCAGTTGACAAATAGCAGCAACCATCCTCTCTATGAATCTCTGGCCCATCATCAAGCTCTTCGGTTAAATCAATTATCACTTCATCTCTCCCAGCTTCATCATGCAGTTCAAGCTCATCATTGGTCAAATAGTTTTCTTCGTCGCCTCTCCTAGAAGTTTCTGGAGTCCAGTCAGGCTTTTTGAAGGTAACCGTGTGGGTATCATCAGCAGTTGTGTGAATTGCTTTTCCGTGATCTTCTGTATGATCTATTAGTTCATCAGCAATCTCAGTTTTCTTGATATTAAGCTCCGTCCCATCAGGTTCTTCTGTTAAATCAATAACTTCATCAGCTCTTCGGGTTTTCTTGAAATGAATCTCCATCCTATCAGGATCTTCTGTTAAATATTCAAACACATTAGATTTCATATTCTCTTGCTGCATATTAGGCATTTTAGAGATAGCTGTGCCATCAGTATCAGCAAAGATTGTATGTGTTTGTTTCTTCTTCCAATAGACTACGTAAAATTGATGGCCGTATCTAGTCTTCACACGGTTAATGTGATCAAACTCGTACTGCCCATAGAGCAAAAGGTTTTCAGGATTTGAAGCAGCCACATCTCTCAAAAACAAAGTTGATAGCATTGGAAGCATTCTCTTCCGCGTATATGAAGGCTCCCATTGCTGGTGAAAAGCTAAATAATCAACAAGCATATCAGTTTTTGGGTTTGTCCACGATATCTTCTTGCGGCCATCATCGCCTACAAATGACCAAATGGAAAAAAAAGGGTCACTCACTCAAAGTATGGCGTTAAAAAGACAAAGAAATTGTTACAATTAAATAAGAAAGATAATGAATGTGTATCAGTACTGTGTCTGTTGTCATTGTGCAAGTACATCTTAATGATCAAATCATGTGGAAAGTCCTCCATTGCAATCTTTCTGCAGACTTTAATGTGCCAATTTTCATTTTTTCTCTGTTCATTTTCTTTCCTATCCTGCCACAAAGAAGAGAGCAGAAGATGTTTAAAACCTCATAAGAAGCATAAGATGATGCACAATTATTTAGAGTGAACGGCCAACAAAAATCACAATTATACCATATCACATGATGAACAGCTACACGTGAAACCCGGGGCTTTCTGCTTGCAATCCTCACCAGTGTTGCTGCAGAACTCACAACCAGACTTGAGGTGAGCCCGCTTGCTTCCTGGATGTCCACAGAATGAACAATGTGGAAGTTTTGGTTTTCGAGGGCTCTCACTGGAACATGCCACGAAATCACCACCCTCTGCACTGGCAATATCATTTGATTCCACAGTTCCTCCCCTGCTTATTTCCAGTAACCTATATGGTAATAAATGAGACACAACTGTTGAGGAAAAGCTGCTTACTGCAAAATAAACATATTTTATGCTATGTAATAAAAAAAAAAAAAAAATCCTCATGTATTCACCCAGGTGCAGACAATATTTCATGTAGGAAACTCTGAGAGCAAGCAAAAACCTGTCTAGAATCTCATCTTTGCTGAAAGACTTGGCAAACCGGCGAGCTGTCTCTAAACCAATGCCACGTACCCCAGATAGATTATGGTCATTTCCTACCAAAATAGAAATTGCTATCAAATGGTTCCTTGTCAGCCCAAGACCAGCCTCAATATCGGACATATAGTAGCACTCAAACGGATCCTACAAAAGATGATTACTGTCATAAACAAACAAAAGCAGAACGAATCAGGTTAAGTCCCTGCAAAAGATGATTTTTGTCACGAAAATGACATACTTTTGAGTTGGGATGGATGTGCTTGATAACACAGGTAGCTCCAAAGAGAAATACATCACTATCAGCAGTAACACAAGCATCAACAAGTCCTTCTCTATTCAGCTCTGCACAGAGCGCTTCAGCTTCCCCTTTAGCTTTTAGAACAGGCATTCCAAGGAGTTCGAGCAACTCCTATCAAACACCACTTATTAATAAGCATTCAAATATGCTTGCTGTAGTTCCATTGGCATTACTTATCAACAAAAAAAGGTGTGATCGCTTCTTTTTTTGGACACAAGAAGATAATCAAAAAAACAATCAAGGGTATTGCATGAATCAGATTATTGGAGAATATGCAAAATTTACGTTGATGAAGGAGACATGTAAGTATGTAACTGCATATTTCCATGGTATCAGAAACAACTTATGACCCCGTAGAAAAATTTTAACGGATGTCACGTGGAACTATAAGAAAACCATTATGGGTATCAAAGAGCTCGATTTAAATAAAATCAAAAGAGACTCACAACACATTCGCGCACACACTTTAGAAAAGCCTTGTTCCTCTCAACGGAAATTTCCTTTTCTGATGCAGGCATACTTGATGTATCAATCCCCGATGCTCGGAAGAATCTTGCCATCCTTGCCCGAGACTTGAGAGGAGATGGTGCCCCATCTGTCACAAAAACTGGAAATGCCCCAAACTGCATATCCATAATGGATAAAAACAAACCTCACATTAGAAGTTCCCAAAGAAACAAACAAAAAACTTATATTCTCAATAGTCAATACAACCTCACAATGTGACATTGAAAACAAAAGGCAAGAATGTGAAAACTGGAAAAGTAATCACAACGCAAGGTTAAATACTTAGTTTGGCAAAATTTGCTAATTAAATTTGAAGGTACAACAATTGTCACCTACATGCATATGCTTAGATAAATACTCCCTCCCTCCGGATTTATTTATCCACCTTGTCCCTTTTGGGATGTCCAAAACAAATTGTACACTCAACGCATTTAATTAGTACAAAATCATAGAATTGAACCATCAAAAAACACTCCCTCAAGAACATATTGGCAGTGTTGCCTTCAGAGGACAAGCTAATTCCAAGGTTTTTATTTTATTTTAATATCTTTCCTTAAAAAAATTCAGGCAGAGGAGTATAAGGGTATACAACCTCACTTCTCTCTGTTCCTCATATGCATTTTTTCTGTGCAAATGTGCATCAGGTGCATGTACACACATGTACGAATAAAATTCAAAGAAATAGATTGTGTTCCTCCATTCACCATAAAACTGAAACCCATTTTGATTTTGTCCCTATACAGTACAGAAATGCACTAAATTCAAGCAAAACCCAAAACGGTCATTCTTTTTGTTGCCATTTCCATTCGAATAAAAATGCAGTCTTTTTGGCTATTCAGTCTTCGCGATTGAATGAATAAACTTACCATGGAGAAGAGATTGATGGTGCGGAAGAACGTCAATCGTATGTGCGGGTTTCGAACGTTCCCTTTGATAGCAGTTTCGTGCTGGACGATCCAGTACGAGAGGTCGACGGCGACCCGTTTGTCCCTCAAGAAATCGAAGCCTTCGGGTCGGGCATAGGGCTTGAGCAAATCCCAGAAGTTCCCTCCAGCGCCCATTTGTTTCGCCAAGAAAGTCTCGAGAAGAAGAAGAAGAAGAAAGATTGGTTAGTAATGGCGTGGGAGGGAAGTGACTGAGAGTGGCCACCGCTTTCAGCGACGACTCGTTTGTGGGAACGAAGGGGGTGAGGATGAAACCATGGAAAGATGGGACCGGTGGGTCCCTACTCCCTAGAACTTTTTTAGCCGTTAGGAGTCAGTGAATGAATAAACTCCCTCCCTCTCAAATTATTTGCAACATTTGCTTTTTCAGCAATCGCAGGAACTTTTGTTTATTACTATGTTTTCATTGGTTATTTGATAAAATAAAATATACTTGACACCTCTTATTTCGAAGAACTTTTCATGTAGTTTATTTATATGTAAATTTTATTTTTTATTTCTATACCAATATGTAAATAAAATGAATTGAAAAAACATGATATTTTGCCTCGGAAATACAAATGAGACAAATATTTAGGGACGAAGGGAGTAATATTTTAACCCGTGCTCCGCACGGGATCGAATAAACTTTTTGATGATTCTATAAATTATCTTTAATGTACTCCCTCCGTCTCCCAGTTTTTGTCCACTTTCATTTTTACACACTATACAATGCACTTCTTTAATCCATTTTATCTTGTAATTTGTATATTAAAAACTTATTGAAATTATATATTAATAATCTATATGTTAAGACAAACCAAACAAGATCACACATGACTATATTTAGGCTTAGACATTGAGAGAATTTGATGAGTCAAAGTGCTTAGATGAACAGTTCAAAAGTCAAAAGTGGACAAAAACTAGGGGACGGAGGGAGTAATATTTTAGATGAATTTATAAAAATATATGTAATGTATTCTTTAACACTATGGAAAAATAATCATAATAAAATAAATTATTTAGCATTTAATATTTGATTATGAAAAATATTATATATAAATTCAAAAGCGAACACCCCAATGAGTTTTCTTAAAATTCATATTTTTTTAAAAAAATTCATGGTATACAATATTTTTGTGTGGTTGCAAAGATTTTTATTATCATCTAGAACTGATATTTTTAACTCTGTCTTTATTTTCACCCGTGAAATAGTAGCATAAAGTTGACTATGAGTGAACATGAATTTGGTTAAAAATAATTTAACAAATGACAATGTTCGATCTTGATTTTTTTTAAATAGTCGTTGCAAAACATAAAATTATTGAGAATTGTCTTGTCTATAACTTCAATGGTAGCCCTGAATCAGGTGGCACCAAAGTTAATTTTAGGTATGTAAACCTTTCCCCCGACTCGATTTTCTGAAACCATAATTGCATCCATAACATTATATCACAACTTTTCAACGATTAATCTTATCTTATTATACAATTTATAATAACATTACTTCCTTATTACATTACTTCCTTACTATATTGTTACTATAGTTCTTCTCATACTCGGATTAGAATTCTCTCTTCTAACTCCTATATTTAAATATGCATCCTTCATTATTGAATAAGAGCAATTATCATCAAATTCTATCATGGTATCAGAGCGAAGGTTCTCAAAAACCTAGTCCTTCCTTTTTCTGACCGAGCACATCGCCGGTCTCTAAAAAACCCATTATCTATCTTTCTTTTAAAAAAATCATGTGTGTGATCGAAGAACGAGGAAATTGCATTTGTCTGTATTTTTTTTCTAGAGATCGAGAGCAAGAAAAGCAATAGAGAAGTAGACCAGAGAACGACCCAAAAGGAGAACAAAAAGAAACTCTTCGCCCTTGCTCCAATCGCCAACACTCTCACTAGAAAAACACTCAACAAACGTAATCTCAAGCTCGTTCGTCATAGAAAAAAGATCTCCATCTCTACTTCTGGAGATTATTCTCGCAAAACTGCTTACACCGGCTTAACTCGAGTACCTATGCTCCAAGCTCTTCCTCGTTACCGATGATCATGGTTAGCTTGCGCGGAGATATCAGGAATAATAGATATATTAGGAAATAAAATATTATTATTCATTACCTTCCTTGTAACATTACTTTTTTATTGTAATACTGTTACTATAATTTTTCTCCTACTTACTTTACAATTCTCTCTTGTAATATCTAAATATAGAGATGTATTCCTCATTATCAATAAGATCAATTATTATCAAATTATATCAGATAATACCAATTTCTTTTTTTTCAAGCAAGTTAAGCTTAGACAATCATCAAATTGTGTTATGGAATAAATCGTATTATATGACATGTATTATTACCCCCTTCGTCCTAAAATAATCTTACAGTTCGGTTTACGAATTTTAATTGAAATTATTTTCAATTCAATTTATTTGATTATAAGTGTAAAATTAAAAAATAAAAATTATATATTTTAAAACTACATCAAATGTTCTACAAAACAAGGAGTGACATGACTATATTATTTTATCAAATAACTAACACATATAGATAAAGAAAGCGATTAAAGTTTGATAACTGAAAAAGTTTGATAACTGAAAAACAATAACTGAATAAATAACAAATAAAAAGAATAACTCAACAAGAACAAATTCTTACTCTCCCCTAAATGTAAATCACATTTCTTTTTCTACTCTTTTATAGTGTAATTTTTATCACTTTTCAATCACTATTCTTTTACTAGAATCTCAAGAATCTCATAATTTGTGATCCAATTAGAAAAAACTACTTCGAGTAGCTTATATTCGGCACATAAATTTTTGATTGGTGAGGTAAAAATAAAAAGAGTGAATTTTCAAAATAAACCTTTAGAATTAGGTATTTTCTGAAATGAGTCTTTCATAAAAAATAATTATCTACGTGATACTTTATAATTTAAATTTATTTTCTTGGCAGTCCTTCGTAAAAACGTCCACCAAACGACTATTAAATTTAGTATATTTTGATATTTTTCGGCATCTAAAAGTAGTCTTTTCTACTAAAATGGCTGGACCGACTTTAGAAATTTATTCAAATTAAAATCATGGTAAGAAGTACTGTAAAAATCTCCGCACAGCTTCCGCTAGCAAGATAAGAGCAAGACTCGTCTCTTTCAGTTTCAAATACGGAGTATTTATATTTTCTCGACTCCCGAGGGCAATGACTGATGTGTACTGAGTATATTCTATTCATAAAGCACCCGGATTAAATTCTGTGTACTTGGCGGTACCGATACGTTTTCCATAAATTCTTTCTTTGTAAAGCTCGAATTCCAACAACATGCAGGCATTCATGTTGATTTATTACTCCTGCAAGTGCAAAGCGGTTATCCATTGAAGGTCTGGGACAGGAAAACAAAAAACAAAACAAAAATTTGATTTTTTTTATTGTACAGAGAGAGATGAAAAATGAAGAACAAGCTCGGTCTCTCTTTGGGATTTCTCTGACCGAACGGCCCAGATGGCAGCAATTCCTTCTTTGCGTTTCTGGGTTTTTCTTTGGCTATCTTGTTAATGGAATCTGTGAGGTCTGTGTTCCTTCTTGAACAACTGAAATGCGTGATTTTTCATTAAAGGAACCAGCTTTGATGTCTTCAAGTCTTTAATTTTGCATTTGGGTTTTCTTTTATTTCCGTGTTTTGTTTGTGAATTTATGTGGTTTGGCATCTGATTGTGGTCACATTGCTTTCATGAGTGACTTCCATGTTATTTTGTTTCTGAAAATTCAATGTCATGGGGTAAAATCTGGGTTTTTTCTGTCATTACTTCCTCGATCTTAGAAAAAAACTTCACATTTCTTTTTTTTGCCAGAAAAAGATTCCACAAGAATTGTGGGTTCAAATTATTGATCTCATCTAAGTTTCAACCACACAATTTTACTCTTATTATGTGATCTGTTTGATGTCTCATTGTAAATTTCTGAATCTTGCTGCATAATTTAGGAAAACTGATGACTAATTATTTGATTTGTTCGGTCGACTCACACGAGCATTGTGAATCTTGGTGCAATGGGATGCTCTTTGATGTTTTTTCCGGCAATCTTTTAACGGATTTTCTGTTTTAAATTCTTGAGCTGTGGTTTACAACCCGATCTGTTTGCCTCATTGCAGGAATACGTGTACAATAGGCTCCAATTCAGGTGAGTTCACCGGCATTGGCACTCTTATGGATGAGTTGTTTCTTCCCCTCTGTGACTGGTTTTTGTTCTTTAAAGTTTGACCATTCTCTGTTGATGTTTTTTTAACAAACTTTTCAAGCTATGGGTGGTACTTCACCTTTGTCCAAGGATGGGTTTATATATTCCTCATTTACCTGCAAGGTTTCACCACCAAGCAAATGGTGAACCCATGGAAGACTTACTTGACGCTCTCCGCTGTGCTCATGGGCTCACATGGACTCACAAAGGGCTCTTTAGCTTTTCTCAACTACCCAGCACAATTAATGTTCAAATCTACTAAGGTGAACAATAATTTCCCTAATATTTGATTGTCTTAATCTGTCTCTATGTGTTCTTGAGCCAAGGGTTTTTGAGAAATAGCCTCTCTACTTTTACTAGTAAGGGTAAAGTCTACGTACACCTGCCCTCTGGCCCTGCACTTAGGACCTTAGTGGGTAGTTTTTTGCTGTTGTAAATTGTAACGCGTATTTTCTGGTGTGAAATGTCCAGGTTTTGCCGGTGATGATAATGGGGGCATTCATTCCTGGATTGAAGAGGAAATACCCACCCCATGAATATATATCAGCAATTCTCTTGGTTGTGGGCCTCATTATCTTCACTTTAGCCGATGCACAAACTTCCCCGAATTTCAGCATTATCGGTGTTGTGATGATATCTGGGGCATTGATCATGGATTCTTTTTTGGGGAATCTGCAAGAGGCTATCTTTAAGATGAATCATGAAACAACACAGGTCCATTTTGCCATATACTATTTTTTGTTGTTTTTTATGGT